ACACACACCAGCTTGGCTGGGGCTGTTTATTTTACTAAGGCAAGCCTGTGTAATAGCAGAACCCATTATTGATCAATTACACAAATAAGATTCCAATAATAGCTAGGATTTTCATAAGCGCTCTACAAAATATTTTCACTGATATTATCTCATTTAATCTTCAAAACATTTCGAGCCTGACCAGCATGGCTCAATGGTTGAGTGTCCACCTATGAACCAGGAGGTCATGGTTTGATTCCCAGAGCACATGCCAAGGTTATGGGCATAATCCCCATTGGCGGCGGCGGGGGCGGGGGTGTTCTCTCTTATCATTGATGTTTCTATCTCTCTCCCTCTCCCTTACTCTCTGAAATCAAAAAATATATATGTATTAAAAAAAACCCCACATTTCGAGGATCCACATGCAGTAATCCCACTCAGCCAGTCAAACCATTCAGTTACATGGGGGTATGTTTTGCAGTTAATCCATCAAGATGTATTACTTAAACCTTGATGTTCCTTAGTGCTTGGTTCAGATTTTTTTTTTTTAAATCTCTGAAAGCATTCAAGCCTGAAACGTCACAGCCATGCTCCCAAGGCATAGAACGTTAGGATCTTGTTTGTTCACGTCTCTCTATATTGGACCAGGCCAAGAACAATTTGATAATTTAGGCTTTGGTCACTCCCCAGGGCACTTCAGATGGGATGAGGGGTGACCATTGTTCAAGACTGTTTCAGCTCCTTATTCTTCATATTAGGCTCCCAGTCTTCCCTTCTGCATGTTAGAATACCTGCACTCTGTGTCTTGTCAGGTCAGATTACCATAATATCTTTGCTGTCCATATTTTATTAAAAGTTAAGTTGCAAGGAATATGATTGGGGCAATTTTGCATAAAAGATATGTCTTCCATCTACATCTCTATCTGAAATTTGATTTTTGGATCAAGCAAGACCATCAGGGAGCCTGATTCTTGCACCTTGTGGCACCCCCATCACTGAGAATTGTGTTAGCTGACTGGCCTTTCGATGAGTTCACCACTGGTCAGCAAAGAAGGACAATAAGGGAAACAGCAGTCATGAGATGTGATATTGTGTCCTCTATGCAAATATGATAGAGGACATTGACCTACATCTCACCCAGCACCCACCTCAATAGGGATCCACAGGGAAATTGTCCCTCAAACCCTCAGACAAAGGAGAATTGTGCTTCCACTGAGAAAACTTAAATACTTAGAGATTGTGCATATCTTGTAATCTACTCTTCTACATTCTTTACTTAGTTCACCTCTACTAAGTCTAGCAGCTTATTTATTGGTGGTCTGAATTTACTTCAGCTTCCTTTTTTTTCCTTATTCTTATTTTCCAACTACCTTGGTTTTCTCATCTATTTGTAGACTTGTCAGTGGACTCAAATCCTTTTCTGAATGGGGCAGATTAAAAATAAATATGAGTAATATGGACAATGTTATCATCTCCATCATTCACATTGCAAAGTAAGAATCAGAGAGGTTAAATAACTTGTTCAAGGTTCTACAGGTAAATTAAATTATAGGATGGAGATCATAAACCATTAATTCTAAATTTTATGTTTGCTTGTTTATTTATTTACATATGACTACCAGGTAAATTGGCACACATAATTGAAATTCAAAGATGATGCACCATATTTTATCTCATAACTTTTTAATTTCCCATCTACAACTTTAAAATTTTGTACCAAATTTGTCCAAGAAACATTAAGTTTGGCTGACTTGACCTTCACTTGCATTCTTCTTCCTCCCAGTTACATGAGGGAGGTGCCAGTATGTAATAAGGAGACCCAGAGTGGGCACCAGAAGAGAGAAAACAATTAAAGGATGAGAAGAATACTTCCAGTGAGACACCAACTCATTAAAGTTTCCCTCAATGGAGAATATCCCGTCTGAACTGATTAAAAGAGTGAATCATAGACTATTTTAAAGGAACTTTGTTTTATGGTCTTTGAACAATGCTGAAACTCAGTTGAGATTGAAAGTTATAATCTAGCAGAGGTCCTAATGGGACCCACTTTATTGAGTGGGAAGGAATGCTTTGTAATTAGGTACCAGTTATTTGTAAATCAGTATGTCTAAAATGCTTGAGTGCTCCTACACCGGCCCTTTAATGTGTTGTAGGTGGACACATAGAAATTGCATTTATATTTGTAATTTGTACTTGCTTTAAATAAAGCCCTGTGGAAGAAAGGTAAATTTTTGGCCTACCATGAAATGGTTACAAATGCTGGTTTTTTTTGATAATACATTAATGAAATTGTTTTATACTATCATTAATTTATTTCCTAGTGAGGAAAGTTAGAAGAGAGGTGAACCATTACATTCAAATTATGACTGAGTCCATAGGAGAGGTAAAAGTAGAATTCAACCACCAACATAGACAAAGATGAGTTCTTTCCCTGATTCACTGAGTCTATAAAAGGTGTTCTGTGTGTTGATCCATGAGAAAGTTGCCTCTGTACTCCAAATCTGTGAAGAATTTGCATTTTGGTTGCAAGTG